CCCCCCCCACCCCACATTTTCCCCTCGCCCCTCGCCCCTTCCATTTTCCCCTCGCCCCTTCCATTTTCCCCTTCCATTTCCATCCCAATCCCACACACCAGACCCCCTTATACAGTCATACAGCACGGAAACAGACCCTTCAGTCTGTGCCGACCATAATCCCGAGCTAAACCAGTCCCACCTGCCTGCTCCTGGCCCACATCCCTCCAAACCTTTCGTATTCACATACTTATCCAAGCGTGTTTTAAATGTTATTCTTCACTGTTCCCGCACCCACCACTTGCTTAGAAAGCTCATTCCACATGCAAACCACTATATTTGCAAAGAAAATTTGCCCTTCATATCTTCTTTAAATCTCTCTCTTCACCCCTTAAAAATGTGCTTCTTAGTCTTGAAACGCCCACCCTAGGAAAAAGACACCCTGTCATTAACCCTATCTGTACCCCTCGTGATTTTAAAAATCTCTATCGGGTCACTTCTCAACCTTTTACATGCCAGTGGAAAAATGTCCCAGCCTATCCAGCCTCTCCTCATAACTCAAACCTTCCGTACCCAGCAACATCCTGGTAAATTTCTACTGAACCCTCTCCAGCTTAATAATATCCTTTGTATAACAGAGCAACCAGAACTGGACACAATACTCCAGAAGTTTGAGTCCCTCTCACTCACACCCCCACCTGCTGGTTCCCACCAGCCCCTTTGCCAACCCGCCCTCAGGTTCACAACCCCCACACCACCCCCATCAAGGTTCTCATCCCGACCACCCACCGCCCATTTGGCTAGTAGCTGCCACACTCTAATACAGGCAATATCCTGGCAAACCTCCTCTACACCTTCTCCAAAGCCTCCACATCTTTCCCTATAGTGTGGGGACCAGAACCGTGCACAATACTCCAAATGTGGCCTCACTAAAGTCTTATACAGCAATAACATGACTTGCCAACTTTTATACTCAGTGCCCTGACTGATGACGGTAAGTATGCCATATGCCTTCCTTACCACCTTGCCCACTTGAGTTGTCACTTTCAGGGAACTATGGACTTGCACCCCAAGATCCCTCTGTATATCATGGGTCTTGCCATTTCCTGTAAACTTTCTCCTTGCATTTGACCTCCCAAAATACATCACCTCACACTTGTTTGGATTATACTCCATCTGCCATTTCTCCGCCCAACTTTCCAACTGGTCTATATCCTTTACTGATCTTCCTCAGTATCCACAACTCCCCAACAATTTTCGTGTCATCTGCAAACTTAGCAATCAGACCCCCTACATTTTCATCTAAGTCATCCATGTATGTTACAAATAACAGAGGTCCCAGCAGTGATCCTCGTGGAACATCACTGGTCACAGACATCCAGTCAAAAAAACACCCCTAAACAACTACACTCTGTCTGCTGTGACTGAGCCAATTTTGCATCCAACTTACCAAGTCACCATGGATCCCATGTGACTTAATCTTCTGGACCAGCCTCCTGTGAGGGACCTTGTCAAAAGCTTTAGTAAAGTCCGTGTAGACAACATCTACTAGCCTACCCTCGTCAATCGCCTTCGTCACTTAGGAAAACTCAGTCACATTTTTGGAACACATGAAGGGGCCTCGAGAAAATATAGGAGTAATGCCAGAGAAAGGCAGCATTCAGGACTGGGGCTTAGTACAACTGTGTGAGGGGAAGGGAAGAAGCCGTGAGGAGCCAATGAGCTCCGTCCATTTGTCGGAGGGATTTAAGCTGGCTTGTGGTGGATGGGAAAGGCTGGGTGATCCTGGAGTTGCAATCAGTTTTAGATGAGAACCACAAGGCATGGTGGCACTTTATGTGAGCGGGTAGGCCTCTCTGGTAATGAGTAGCTAAAGTTTTTGTCCATCATAAACGTTCAATTCTGCGTCCATGTACTGAGGGAAATGGAAGCGGAGTTTCAGAGGGATTGGAAGCATTGAGTGCTACTCGGATGAGAGGGAGTTTAAGGATTATGCTTAAGGTCAGAGGTGGCAGTGAAATTGAGCAGCAGTGAATGGAATGTTGTGACCTGAGGAGAGGTTTGTTTGCTACCGGGGTGAATTCAGAAGATGGGAGGAGATGGTGGGCATGTGGAGCGTGATACAGGGAGGTCATTGGAAATGGTCTTATCTGTGACTGACTTAAAGGGGGTCAGGAGGTTGCCATGCAGTGAGGCGTGCGGTTCTGAATGCGAATAGGGAGGGCAGTGAATATAGAGGAACATTGGCAGGGCAGGTAGCAGCTTTATTTAGAACTGATTACTTGTCTGTCAGTGATCCCTTCCCCTTCTCTCAGTTGTGCTAGCCCAGGATGATATGTATGAGTCTCCACCTTCAATCCAGGTCAGAACAGTGAACGTGCATTTGATTGAGTCTGCGAATTGAGGGCCTCACAGTAAAGCCCCCCCCGCCCTGCAATCCCCCGTGTGCTGGCACAAACAAACTTCCCAGTCAATAGATACTGGTCGGGGATGATGACCATTGGCCGCCTTGTGTTTCTTATTCCCAAGTGAGCTCATCACTAATTCTCCATCCTTTTACCCAATTCGCCCTGGTCACGTCTGGCTCTCAAAAGAGACCACTAACACCCCCACCCCAGAGCCCTGCTCCCTTTCCCCCTTCCTGGTGCAACTCTTCCCCCTGGCAGGTACTTACACAGGCCTGCTGCTGGATGGTCTCCAGGATGTGCTTGGCCGGGATAAAGAAGTCGATGACATAGCGCAGAGCGTCATGGCGGAAGGTTTTCTCCAACACGTCAAACACTTGGCCGAGGAGGGTGCCAGCTGTTTCCTCGAAGGGAGGGTAGAGGGCGGACAGTGACCTCTGGATGCAGCTATCCACCGCTTCAGAGTCCTGCAGAGACAAAGACGAATGAGACGTTAGCGCAGTCACGGCTGCTGAGACAGACCGACATTAGGAGGCGATATTTTGCCAGCCACGTGGAGCTTTGCGTCACTGCGCTGTTGATTCAGAGTGGCGGAGGTACTCTTATCCCATGACCTTGTGACAAACTGAGTCACAGCTGTGGTCAAGTTGACGCCAGGGCCAGAATTCCTGACTTGCGCTCACACCGGGCCGAACTCTGCACTGTGACAGTGGTGCAAACGAGCCCACAGTACCCCGGCCTCTTCATTCACTGGGCAATCCCCATGCAGACACCCAGATCCTGGCACAAACATTTCCACACCCCCTCCCACCCCCCAAGAGCAGCCCCTCGCTCGTGTATCCTGACTGCTCGGATGGAGGTTAATCATCTTGTGGCTGTATTTCTTCAGAGACAAGGAGGAGTTATCCCTGGTGCCTAACATTGGCACAGATTGTTTTACCTTTACCATTGTGCTGATTGTCCGTGGGTTGATGGCCATGTTTCTGAAAGTGCTTTCAGCTGTGTAGCTTTGGGAAACCGAATGGTTGTGAAAAGTATTTGTATTGATGTGCAGCTCATAGAGATATACAGCAGGGCCCTTCGGCCCAACTTGCCTTTGCTGCCCAGTTTTTTACAATTTAAACTAGTCACATTTGCCTATGCTTGATCAATACCCACCTATCCTTGTACTTGTCAAAATGTTTCTTAGATGACAAATAATACTTGCTTCCGCCACTCACTCCGGCAGCACGTTCCAGGCACTCACCACCCTTTGTGCCCAGGGACGTGCGGGTTAGGGTGGGTTAGCCATGGGAAATTACTCATAGTGCCCAGGGATGTGCAGGTTAGGGTGGGTTAGCCATGGGAAATTACCCATAGTGCCCAGGGATGTGCAGGTTAGGGTGGGTCAGTCATGGGAAATTACCCATAGTGCCCAGGGATGTGCGGGTTAGTGTGGGTTAGCCATGGGAAATTTCCCATAGTGCCCAAGGATGAGCAGGTTAGGGTGGGTCAGCCATGGGAAATTACCCATAGTGCCCAGGGATGTGCAGGTTAGGGTGGGTTAGCCATGGGAAATTACCCATAGTGCCCAGGGATGTGCGGGTTAGGGTGGGTTAGCCATGGGAAATTACCCATAGTGCCCAAGGAGGTGCGGATTAGCGTTGGGTTAGCCGTGGGAAATTACCCATAGTGCCCAGGGCTGTGTGGTCTGGGTGGATTGGCCATAGGGAATGCCGGGTTACAAGGTTAGGGTGGATCTGGGTAGAATACTCTTCAAAGGGTGGGTATGGACTTGATGGGTTGAATGACCTGCTTCCACACTGTAGAGACTCTATACCATCTATATGTGTGCCCTCTTGTTTTAGATTCCCCTACTGTGGCAGGGAAAGCAGTGAAAAGCAGTTGGCTACGTACATTCCTATGTATTTCCTTAGTGGCCATGAACTGTGGGAAGGGATTGGGAATGTTGTGGTAGCGTTCATGCCAAAGGATTGGGCCCCTCAGTGAGTTACTCGATTTCACATAACTCTGTTTTTAAGATTCACCAGCCTTCAGAGGAAAAACGGCCCTGAGATTTTGGACGAGCTCGGAAGCCCCCCTCAGATGGCCACGCAGCCCCTCCCCTACCCTCCCCTCCCCAACAAATGTTTTACAAGCAGGAATTTCTGGCCAGAGATTAAGTGCAGTTGTGTCCCTTTGATTGGGAGCGAGGTGGAGAGTGTGCTGATGGTTCCGCACAAAGGGAGCATTGGGCGTACAACGATGGCAGCTTTGGATGTGTGACCAGAGAGGGAGGGACCAGAGACAGGCTGCAGCTAGTCACCCATTAACTTCCACCAGTGTCACACGCGACCGGGTTCTCTCGCAGGAGCTTCAGTGGGTGAAATTAATACAAAAGCACGTGAGTGACATGAGGCTCTGGTTCGGTAGGAGATAGGGTGGGGATGTTTATTACCGGAGCTGAGTTAGCTGCAGGTACAGCCATCAGTGCAAAGGTGGATGGGAACAGAAATAATGGGCAGGAACTCTCTAAATAATTAGACGCGCCTCCTGTAGCGATTTTTCGTTGGGGCCTCAGCTATTCACCCTGGCTGCACGGTGGCTAAGCGGTTAGCTAACGGCGCCAGGGACCCGGGTTCGATTCGACCCTCGGGTGATTGTCTGTGTGGAGCTTGCACATTCATCCCCCTGCGTCTGCATGGGTTTCCTCCGGTTTGCTCCCACAGTCCAAAGATGTGCAGTCAGGATGGATTGGCCATGCTAAATTGCCCCATAGGGTCCAGAGGTTTGCAGGCTAATTGGGTTAACCATGGGAAATGCAGGGTGGCTACAGGGATAGGTCAGGGGTGGGTAGTTCTGGGTGGGATGCTGTTCAGAAGGTCAGTATGGATTCGATGGGCTAAATGGCCCACTTCCACAGTCGGAGCTCCTCTGCTTGCCAGTCCCTTTCCCATTTTAGCCTCGTGATTTTTTGCCTCTCCTCTTGTGGTTCCCCCCCTCCCCGAGAGCTGAGCGAGCGGGCTGAGTCCCGTGGCAGGACCAGCACGGGCAGCGTGGCCCTGTGCTCTGGGGCCTGCAGGCATGCCCTTTGAGCACCAGAACACCACGAGCAGTGAGCCCTGGCTGGAGACCAGCGTGAGGGCACTTAGAACTTGCCTTGGAACACTGTAATGTTAACCCCTTATTATTTTCCTATTTTTAACTTATTTTCAATTCTGGGATTAAGAAACTACTTCTATTCCTCTGCAGTATCCAAGAATTGTACCTAGATACTTGTACCTAAGATGTCGCTTTAAGAAGGCAGACATTGTGAATGTTTTTCACTGTACCCCTACAATGGAGTACATGTGACAGTAAAAGGATATTAAGTGATATTAATGAAAAACTTTAGCTGCCAGGCCAGATAATTCTATTATGCAGTAAAGTATGATTGTAGGCTGTTTAGTTTGAAGTACAGAATACAAAAAAGCTACTGATAGATTGAGAATGAGCAAAACTGCAGCCTCCATTTTTATCGAGGCAAAATTGAGGATATCCGTACAGGACCTTCATAAAGGAATGACCATGTTGGCACGGTGCAAAAACACTTTTAAAGCTGAGATCACTAGGTTTCTGTTAAACCAAAGGAAGATGGGGCAGAGGTGTGTGACACCAAGATCGCTAATCAGGTGTATTGTAGAATAGCAGAGCCAGTTCGAGGGGCTGAAAGACCCCCAGCCTGTTCCTGTGAAGTTGGTTGATGCATGAGAGGCCAGAATTAAAGGTTTAGATTCTAAACAAGGCCTCACATCTAAAATGCATTGTCTGACCTGAGATGTCACCTCTGGTATACTGTTAAAACTTTTAGTTATCTTGGGGCAGTGGCTTGAAAGAAATTCTGAAATTTACATGTAATCCTTTCTATGATCAAAGATTTAATCTTAAATTTGTGCAACACATTCACATCAGTTCTATGCCCCTTTGATCTTTTACTGATAAATTCTGCGTCTAATGCCACCTCTCTCACTGACACCTGAAGAAGGAGCGAGGCTCCGAAAGCTTGTGTCTTCAAATAAACCTGGTGTCGTGTGATTTTTGACCTTGTCCAGCCCAGTCCAACACCAGCACTTCCACATCAGAATTAAAGGAACACGGAGAGCTCAGAGGGTTGAAAGAGGAGGCATGAGCTGGATACAACTGTGGCTTGTAAATGTCAAACGGTAATGTGGTGAGGTGCTGATGGTTCACAAAATGAGAGCAAAGAATAGCCAACACTGATGTCTTCATAGCAGACCCCAATCTGTTATACATCTCTTTCCCAGTTCACCCCTCCGCTGTGGTGGGTGTCCCTCATGGCCCTAAGCTACATGGAGATAGTGTGCGCCCATGTGCCGTGTCAGTTCGTAGCTTTGATCCCATGCACATCAATAACTTGACAACGCAACAGGCTGTGACTTTTACAACCCATCTGAAGGACAGGAACCTCCAATCGTGCAGCACTCTCTTAGCATGGCACAGCCTTGATTTTTGTGCTCAGTGCTACCAACTGGGCCATTGCATAGAAAAGCTACCTCTACTGTTTAAAACTGAAAACAAAGCTCCCTCATTACTGTCCCAGACAGTGTACAGCACAGTCTGGGAAATACAGAGTAAAGCTGTCTCAACACTGTTCCCCATCAAACACACCCAGGACAGGGACAGCACAGGGCCAGATGCAGAGTAAAGTTACCTCTACAAATCACCATCAAATATTCCCAGGACGGGTACAGCACAGGGTTAGATACGGAGTAAAGCTCTCTCTACACTGACCGCACCATCAAACACTCCCAGGGACAGCA